TCCTTGTGTCTGGGGAGTGGGAGGAGATGTTTTCTGATGTTGTGCAAGCTACTTTGGCTCGTCCTATCTCTGACCATGTTCCGTTGATGCTAGATTGTGGCGGGTTGCGGAGTAGACGCTCTCCATTTAGATTTGAGAATATGTGGCTTCGGGCTGGGGGTTTCTTGGAAAGGGTCCGATTTTGGTGGGAGGGGTTCGGGGTGTTAGGCACCCCAAGTTATTCGTTTGCAAGTCATTTGCGTCGCTTGAAAGGAAGCATTAAGATTTGGAACAAAGAGGTCTTCGGGAATCTTATGTGGAGGAAAAATCGGGTTCTGGCTTAGATCGCTGATATTGATAAGATGGAGGGTTAAGGGGATCTGGCAGATGCTTTAAAGGTTAGGAGGGCGGAGTGTAAGGCGGAGTTTGCTGAGATTGCGATCATGGAGGAGATCTCGTGGAGACAAAAGTCTAGAGCTTTGTGGCTCAAGGAGGGGATTGTAATACAAAAATTTTTCATATTTTGGCCAATGCTCATAAAAGGGGCAACTATATAGGGAGGATTCATGTGGAAGGGGTGCTTCTTTGCAAGAAGGATATCTGCAAGGGCATTTCAGAGTTCTACGAGAAGTTGTTTACTGAGTCTGTTGAGTGGAGACCTTTGCTTGAAGGGTTTCAGTTTGCCTCTATTTCTGGTGAGGACTGCTCAGGTCTGGAGGTGCCTTTCTCTGAAGAGGAAGTCCTTATTGCTTTGAAGAGTTGTAACGGGGATAAAGCCCCAGGTCCTGATGGTTTTACCATGAGATTTCTTTTGGAGTGCTGGGAGGTGGTTAGAGGGGAGGTGATGGGTTCTTTTCATGCTTTCCACGCTTAGGGCTCTTTTGAGAAGAGCTTAAATGCCACTTTCATTTCTCTCATTCCGAAGAAAGGGGGGGCTATGGATATTAGGGATTTTCGCCCTATTAGTTTGGTGGGGTGTTTTTATAAGTTAATTGCCAAGGTCCTTGCCTCAAGGTTACGGAAAGTCCTGGATGGCGTCATCTCTGATTCTATAATGCTTTTGTGGGAGGTCGTCAGATTTTGGACTCAGTTCTTATTGCTAGTGATTGTGTGGACTCCCGCTTGCATAGTAGGGTCCCAAGAGTTTTGTGTAAGCTTGACCTGGAGAAGGCTTAAGACCATGTGAGTTGGAACTCCCTTCTTTACCTGATGGAGAGGGTGGGGTTTGGGGATCGGTGGAGGAGATGGATCCATATTTGTATTTCCAGTGCTCGCTTTTCGATTCTTGTGAATGGTGCTCCTACCAGTTTTTTCTATAGCTCAAGGGGTTTGAGACAAGGGGATCCGCTTTCCCCTTTCTTGTTCCTGTTTGTGATGGATGCCCTTAGCAGATTGATGAGCAAGGCTACTGAGTTGGGGTTTTTGAGAGGCTTTCGGGTGGGCAGAGATGCTGCTCCCCAGTTGGAGGTCTCTCATTTGATGTTTGCCGATGACACTTTGGTTCTTTGTGATGCGAATGTGTCCCAGCTTAGATATCTGAGGTGTGTCCTAATCTGGTTCCAAGTTGTTTCTGGCCTTAAGGTGAATGTGGGCAAAAGCATTTTGGTGCCGGTGGGAGAGGTTCCTGAGATTGAGTTATTTGCTGATATTCATGGTTGTCATACTGGCTCTTTTCCCATCTCTTACTTAGGGATGACTTTGGGGGCCCCTTCAAGATGTGTTGGGGTTCGGGATCCTGTGGTGGATAGATTTGAGAAGAGGTTGGTGGGTTGGAAGAAGCAGTATTTCTCCAAGGGAGGTCGGGTCACTCTAATTAAGAGCACCCTTTCTTGCCTTCCTACTTATTTTATCTCTCTGTTTTAGATTCCCTCTTCAGTTGCGGAAAGGATTGAAAGATTGCAGCGTAATTTTCTGTGGGGGGGTAGAGGAGAAGAGTTTAAGTTTCATCTGGTTTGTTGGGATCAGGTGTGCAGGCCAATTCGTTTTGGAGGTTTAGGTCTTAGAAGACTGGTGCCTTTCAATAAGGCTCTCCTTGGTAAATGGTTGTGGAGATTTGGTGTGGAGAGGCATTGGCTTTGGAGGAGGGTTGTTGCTTGTCGTTTTGGGGAGTCTAGAGGAGGGTGGTGTTCTCTGGAGGTGCGTGGCCCTCGAGGTGTGGGGGTTTGGAAAGTCATTCGGAAGGGATGGGATGAGTTTTCCAAACACGTTCGTTTTTTAATCAGGGATGGTAGGAGGATCAGTTTTTGGGAGGATGTTTGGTGTGGGGATTCTCCTCTCGCCATTTCTTTTCCTCAACTTTTTAGGATTGCTACGGATAGGCAGGCCATGGTAGTTAACTGTTATCATCTTCATAGTAGGACTCTTGTTTGGGATGTTCGATTCAGGCGGTTGTTTCAGGATTGGGAGATTAAGGAGGCCATTCGTTTTTTGGAGGAGTTGTATCGCCAGAGAATTGTGGATGGGGTTTCTGATTGTTGGTCCTGGGTTGCAACCTCTCATGGGCGTTTTGAGGTTAGATCCTTTTTCAAATGCCTCACGGATGTTACTAGAGCTCGCTTCCCTTGGAAGGCCGTTTGGCACTCTAAGGCTCCTCTCAAGGTGGGTTTTTTTGCTTGGACTATTGTTCTGGGAAGGATCTTAACCCAGGATAATTTGAGAAGGAGAAATCAGGTAGTGGTCAATCGTTGCTATATGTGTCTTCAGGATGAGGAAATTGTGGATCACCTTCTCCTCCATTGCACCATGGTTAGAGACTGCTGGAATTTGATGTTTGGCTTGTTTGGGATTCTTTGGGTTATGCCTGGATCCGTTAGAGGGTTGATTAAGGCTTGGAGAGTTTGCCATGTGGGGCCTCACATTCTGGATGCTTGGAGGGCTACGCCTCTTTGTGTGTGGTGGTGTATTTGGCTCGAGAGGAATAGAAGATATTTTGATGGGAAGGAGTTGTCGATTTCTTTTCTTAAATTCTCTATTATTTCCACCCTTTTTTGTTGGGTTTCTGGGAGAGATCATAAATCTTTAGAGGAAATTTTCAATTTTTTGGCCTCTTTGAAGGCTTAAAGGTCCTTGGTGGCCTTGCGCATATCTTTAGGGCTTCGCTCCCCTTTTGAGCGCTCTTATAAAATTTTCTTACTTATCAAAAAAAAAAGAAGTAGATGTACACGGTCATCAAAGCCAAACCTAGTTCCCATATAGATAAGGACGAGTGGCCGATGAAGTTTTTGCTCGAGAAACCAACTGAGCCGATTACAACGCATTTGAGGCCGTTATATCCACTTGGAGGGTCAGCCCATGTCCAAGGTGTTCATAGATAACAGGTCCACCATCAATGTGATCCCCAAAAGGGCGATGGAACAATTCAAATGAACAGAAGAAGAGTTGCTCCCATCTGATATGATGTTGAAAAACTTCACAAGGGATCCAACCGATATCAAGGGAGTTCTTTCCCTTGAAATTGTTGTGGGCAGCAAGACTGCCATGACCCCATTCTTTATGGTGGGTGAGTCAACGACCTATAATGCTTTGCTAGGCCATGACCAGCTTCACCCCAATAGAGCAATTGCTTTTTACCTTCACCAATTCTTGGCATTTTGGGTAGTAGAGGAGATCGAAATGGTATAGGCTGATAATCAGCCATTTAGTGGAAGTGTAAACAGCATTGATGCCTATACAAACCAGACATCGGGCCAACAAGAATGATTGGCCAAGGTGAGTATAAAAATCCCAGTAAGGTCACCATCATCCAAGATCTCACTCCTAAGGATCTTGTTGAGTTGCATAGTGAACTATTGGCCCCTAATCTACCATAAGTGTCACTGCCGATGGTAATGACTAAAGAGGAGGTTGCCAATGAAGCAAGACCCTAAATATGAGGACGGGTTGCTGGCCTACAAAACTAGTTTGGGCAGGTGCAGCTCTACCTGATGGAAACGATACTTATGTTAAGGACGGCCGACGAAGCCGTTTGTCAAGTTGAATAGGGGGAAGTTTCATTGGCCAATGTTATCCAAATGGAGGAGCTGAAAGCAGCTCCGCCTAAACTGGATGACCTCAAGGCCCCCTAGAAGAAATTAACCTTGGAACTGAACAAGACCCAAGGCCGATCTTCATTAAGAAACTGGTGAATGAAGAGTTCAGGGCCAAATTAGTTTCAACTCTTAACAGAGTTCAAAGATAGCTTTGGTTGGGACTCTTCAGAGATGCCTGATTTGTCAAGGCAGTTGGTGGAGCACAAGTTGGCCATCAAACTTGGGTTCCAACCATTCAAGCAGACACCTAGGAGGATGTCTAAAGAAGTGATCCTTAAAGAAGAAATTGAGCACTTGCTCAAGGCTGGTTTCATACGAATGGCCAGATATTGTGACTGGATGTTGAATATCCTATGCCAATGGCCGATATGCTTATTGATTCGGTCGCTGGGCACAAAATCCTTTCCTTCATTGATGGAAACTCCGGCAATAATCAAATCTGTAAAAATGAAGATATGTATATTGTAGAAATACACACACGGAGAGAGAGAGAGAGACCGTAAGAGAGAGCCTCTGAAGTAACTTCTCATATTTTCATTATACAAACCCTAAAACATAAGGAGAGTTTATATACAATACAATACAATAAAGGCCTAATTACATAACAGCCACAAACCCTATATCTAATTACCATAAGACCCCAACCTAAATGCATATATACATATAAGTGTTTCAACACTCCCCCTCAAGCTGGAGAATATATATCATATAATCCCAGCTTGGAACAAATTATTTTTAACCGATTATGACCAAGAGCCTTAGTAAACATATCAGCTAGTTGGTCTTCAGACTTCACGAATGGAGTAGAAATATTTCCACTCAATATTTTCTCTCGAGTGAAGTGACAATCAACTTTAATGTGCTTGGTTCTTTCATGAAAAACCGGATTGGATGCGATGTGAATAGCTGCTTGGTTATCACATAGCAGTGGAATAGGAGTCTTGACTATTAACCCAAGTTCTTCAAGAAAGTGTTGAATCCACGTTAACTCACTAGAGGTATGGGCCATCGCCCTGTATTCTGCTTCAGCGCTAGACCGTGCTACAACTGTTTGCTTCTTACTTTTCCATGTAACAAGGTTTCCACCAACAAGTGTACAATAGCCTGTAGTAGATTTCCTATCTGAGGGAGAACCAGCCCAGTCAGCATCTGTGAAACCTGTCACATTAAGATGACCATTAGGTTTATATAGTAATCCAAAACCTGGAGCTTGTTTAAGATATCGAATAATTCGAAGAACAGCATTCTAATGTGGTACTCTAGGAACACTCATGAACTGACTTACAACACTAACTGCATATGAAATGTCAGGTCGGGTGATAGTGAGATAAATTAATTTCCCAACTAGACGTCGATATCTGCCATGATCGTCAAATAAATCACCCTCATCAGGTAATAATTTTATATTTGGGTCCATAGGAGCATCAGCAGGGCGAGTACCTAACATACCTGTTTCTTTTAACAAGTCCAACACATATTTTCTTTGAGATAGACTTATACCTTCCTTGGATCTAGCAACCTCAATACCCAAGAAATATTTGAGTTTGCCTAGATCCTTTGTGTGAAACCGATTCTGCAAGAACAATTTTAATTTTGCAATGCCGTCAGAATTATCACCTGTTATAACAATATCATCTACATATACCACAAGAAATATAAAGCCAGTTTTAGTATGTTGGTGAAATACCGAATGATCTGTCTCACATCTGTTAAGGCCAAAGGAAAGTACCGCCTCGGAGAATTTTCCAAACCAAGCCCTTGGAGATTGTTTCAATCCGTACAGGGCCTTTTTAAGTCGACATACAGCATAACGAGACTCCCCCTGAGCAACAAATCCAGGTGGTTGCTCCATGTAAACCTCTTCATGTAAGTCACCATGTAAGAAAGCATTTTTCACATCTAATTGAAACAATGGCCAATTACGATTGGCGGCAATAGAAATAAGGATTCGGATAGAAGAAATTTTCGCAACAGGAGAAAAGGTCTCATCATAATCAATACCATAGGTTTGTGTGTATCCCTTTGCAACAAGACGAGCCTTCAATCGCTCAACAGATCCATCATGGAGATATTTGATAGTGTAGACCCACTTACAACCAACCGTTTTGGAGCCGAGGGGTAAGGAAACAAGATCCCATGTCCCATTATGATGAAGAGCATCAATTTCATCTATCATGGCTTTGCGCCAAGCTGTATCAGATAGAGCATCCTGCACAGTTTTTGGAACAGCAGTAGTAGATAACGTGGATAAAAAACAAGAAAATGAGGGCGATACCTTTTTATAGGAAACAAAGTTGGATATGGGGTGTGCAGTGACACAGGAGCGAACACCCTTACGTAATGCAATAGGAAGATCATCAGTAGCAGGAGGAGCCTCAATAGAAGTAGACAATTGGGGGGGGGGGCTACTCGTGATCGACGGCTATACACTTGAAGAGGCGGTGGCACATGAGGTGATTATGGTGGGTCACAGGGTAATGAATTTGACACAACAAGTAACGGAAGCAGCAGCTCGGTATCTAAAGATGAACTATGTGAAGAAAAATAAGGAGTATCCTCAAAAAATGTAACGTCCATGCACACAAAAGCCTTATGAGTGCTAGGATCCCAGCATTTATAACCTTTTTGAGTCCGAGAGTATCCCATAAAGACACATTTAATGGCACGAGGAGACAATTTATCAGTGCCAGGACGTAATATGTGAGCAAAACACACACACCCAAAAACACGAGGCGGCAATGCAAATAATGGTCGAGTAGGAAAAACAAAGGAGTAAGGACATTTCCAATTAAGAACGGAAGATGGCATACGATTAATTAAATAACAAGCAGTTAAAACAACATCACCCCAAAATGCTTTTGGAAGATGCATATGTATCATCAATGTACGAGCTATTTCAATTAAATGCCTATTTTTCCGTTCAGCTACGCCATTTTGTTGAGGAGTATAAGAACAAGAAGTTTGGTGCAAAATACCACGGGAGTCACAAAAATTAGAAATAGCACCTTTGACATACTCCATAGCATTATCAGATTGTAAAGTGCGTATAACACACCCAAATTGGACCTCAATTTCTTTTAAAAATATTTGAAATATGGAAAACAGTTCAGAACAGTCTTTCATTAAAAACAACCAAGTCATCCTTGAATAATCATCAACAAAGGTAACAAAATAAGAAAAACCTAAGTGACTAGTGTGACGAGCGGGACCCCAAATGTCCGTATGTACTAATTCAAATAAAGAAGACCGACGATTAACAATACGAGGAGGGAACGGCACTCTATGGTGCTTACCCAACTGACAAGACTCACAATTTAAAATAGGTACCGACTCAAGGAAAGGCAAAGCAGACTTCAAATACCACAACGAGAGATGACCTAACCGGTAATGCCACTGGTACACAGACATCTGGGAATGTAAAGCAACAGTGGAAGGTTTGCAATCCAAATAGTATAGGCCATTTCTGTTACTGCCCCCACCAATCGTCTATTTCGTGTTGAGGTCCTGAAAGACACAAGACGAAGGATAAAATGTGACAAAACACTTCAGAGCTTGAGTCAATTTACTTACAGATAATAAATTAAAAGGAAAATTTGGAACTAATTGCACAGAGGATAAAGAAATGGATGGGGTTAATTTAATTGTTCCCTGGCCAATAATGGAACATGTTCTACCATCAGCCAGAGTAACAAAAGATGAGGAACTAGACTTCTGAAAGTTAGAAAATAGAGAGGCATCACCTGTGAGATGGGTAGAAGCCCCAGAGTCAATGACCCAAGGGGATGCTGAAGTCTGTAAATCGGACAAGCATGCAATATTACCTGATTGCGCAAAATTAATTACATCAGTAGAGTTGGGATGTGTCCGGTTGACCAAAGCACTGAACTCAGCTCGTGATAGTGATAGTGTCACAGTGTCACTAGTAGCTGCAGGTGATGGTAATACAGAAGTCTGACCAAGAGAGGGATGAGACCCCGCAAGGTCAGAGGAAGATACTGCTTGATTTGCCCATGCTGGTTTCCCATGAAGAGTCCAACAGTTCTCAACAGAATGGTTAGTACCTTTACAGTGGCTGCACATACGAGTGTCACTACGTCCACGACCACGGCGATTGCGACTTCTATCGCGGCCACTACCGCCACGAGAACTACCTGAATTTCCACCATACCCTCTGTTGCCACTAGGAATATCTCTTGAATTTCCACCATACCCTCTGTTGCCAGTAGAACTATTACGACCTCTAGAGGACTGTGGAAAAATAGAAGGAATCATCATAGATGAATTTTCTTTCACTCCAGTGGGTGTCACATGTGATTGTTCTGAAACCCTAAGTAGGCGGGAGTAAATGTTACCCAAAGATGGAAGTCCTCCATCACCCGCAAGAATCTGGTCCCGAATATTATGAAGGTTCGGGTGCAAACCACCAAGAAAAATTGAAACAGAAAATTCCTCACGTTGTCGCTTGAGAACATCAGGATCAGTAGTCAAGGGGTGGTACTGATTTAACTCATCTAACAGGCTTTTGAAATTACTGTAATACTCACCAAGCCCTTGACCAGAGAAGTCAGATTGACGAGAATGAAATATCTTTTCATACAAAGAATATATGCGCGAAACATTTGTGTCCATGGAATAAGTTTCTTTAACTGCATCCCAGATTGCCTTGGCAGTGTTGACAAACATAAAGGTGGATGCAATTGAAGGTTCCATACTGTTCCACAACCAAGACATAACCATATAGTTATCAGTTTCCCATTCCTCATATGTTGCTGATGTTTTTGATGGAGGATCAGTAGTAATAAACTTCAGCTTTCGTCGGGCACCTAAAGAAATCTTTACTGCTTGAGCCCATAGTAAGTAATTGGAATTACTTAATTTCATAGATGTAATTTGCAGCCCAACAGGATCAATATATGTTGCAGAAGATTTAACTCCAGAAGACCCAGAGGCAACATTTGAATCTTCCGGCATGGAGATGTGAATATGAAAAGAAAAAGAAAACTTATCTCTGCCAAGTTACCAAAGAGGCTGTTGCACACGAGAAGGCAAGACCAGAGTTCAACCGCGAACAAAAGAAGATTCGGAGTGGAACAGACCCGACAAGAGAATCGGGCCGGATCCTGGATCGGGTCGAACGGGCCGGATCCTAAATCGGGTCTGACGGGCCGGACCTTGGATCGGGCCGAAACAAATCCGGTTTATATTAACCTGGATTAGAATAGCGAGCACCTGTAGCCAAACACCATTCGTCTCTCAACTCTCCGGCGAGTACGCAGCGGTAGCGGCAACGACGATGGAATAAGCAAGCAGCGATGCACCTCGCAACAGCCGTCGGTGACCAAACAACGACCAGCAACGACGACGACAGCCGCCGGTGACCAAGCAGCAAGCAGCGACGGCAAGAGAAGGCGGCGAGTAACAAAACTGGGTTTCAGATCTGAGACCAAACGACGAGAGACGAGCGACGACGACGAGAAACGGCGGGGAGCTCGTCGACACCCAAAACGGCAACAACACCACCGTCGCGAACAGATCTACAGATCTATACCGTCGCGAGCTCTGAACTCTACAGATCTTATACAAGAACAATACAATTGCAATTTCCCACACTCACAATTTTGATCCGCTCTGATACCATGTAAAAATGAAGATATGTATATTGTAGAAATACACAGAGAGAGAGAAAGAGAGACCGTAAGAGAGAGCCTCTGAAGTAACTTCTCATATTTTCATTATACAAACCCTAAAACATAAGGAGAGTTTATATACAATACAATACAATAAAGGCCTAATTACATAACAGCCACAAACCCTATATCTAATTACCATAAGACCCCAACCTAAATGCATATATACATATAAGTGTTTCAACAAAATCTACATAGCTGAGGAAGATCTCCACAAAATTACATTCAGATGCCCTGAAGCCATTGGTTTCTTTTAATGGGTGGTGATGCCCTTCAGCATAAAGAACGCCGAACCGACCTACCAAAGGACAATGATTGCCATTTTCCATGATATGATTGGCCGATTCATGGAAGTCTACATCAATGATGTAGTGGTCAAATAAAGAATGCAGTCGCATCAACTCGAGATGAATCTTTTGAAGTGTGCCTTTGGGGTGACCGTGGGCAACTTCCTCGGATTCCTGGTCCACC